ATAGGTAGATATCAAATATAAAAAAGCAAAAAGGTTCCACTTAAAATTCTAAAAGCATTGCGATAAAATTCTAAAGCATAGTGATTAGAAGACTGTGAAGAACATGAAAGGGGGACATCAAAGAAAACTCTGGTCTTAAATTATGACAAAGAATGGACTAAAGAAAGAAATAATTATAACACCTACTCATCTGAACAAAAACCAACGATCGTTCCTAAGGAAGGAATTCAACACATAAAAAAAATTAAAAACGTTTAAAAAACCTACTCAAACCTTGTTTTTATGGCATTAGGCCGTAAACGAGCAGACGGATCACCTGATGGTAAGCAATCGGCGTCGCCTATGGACACCTGGAACACCAGAGGCGTTACAAGTGCGTTACTGGCCTTTTGGGGATTAGGAGTTTGAGGATCGTTGGGGATTCAGGAATTGGGGAGATTGGGGAAGAGGATGGTAATTGGGCCTCCGGTAACCTCACTCACACGACGTAACATAACGCAAGCGTTGCTTCACGTCGGTTTTCTGTGGCCGTGGTATCACTCCGGTCGAGCCGGGCCATTCGTGCCGAAGCATGGCTCTCCCACACTTGAAATCGGTTTTCTTTTGAAGTCGGTTGATATACAAAAATCTGCATCTATGGTAACAAAACCTTTCCTTAAACTGTCAAACACCAAGCGGTCACCGGTGACCGCGACCTATTGTTCTTTAATTGTGTCTATAAAACCGGTACTCGACGAGTTAAAGCGCATCAAAACCGGTTCAGCCAAACGCGAAAAAATCGCACAGAAACATACGTCATACAGAATTACAGTTCAAACTCGAACTGAGAACTGCCATTTTGAAGTCGGTTAAAAAAGAAATACACGCGGTATTCAACTTGAAGATCACAATGCAACATCGTGCCAGCCATAAAATGTCATATACTTAGAAAAGTAAAGACTACAACAAAATCACTTTACGACCAGAGATTACGAATAGACGGCGACCATGACCGATTACTGGCCGACTTACGGAAGGCTTATCAACTAGTTCTACAATCTGCTGAGAATAATGAAAACTCTTGATTTTTTTTCTATAATTACCTAGGTACGTGCGTCGTACGTCGCGTACGTCGTGGTGACCAGGAGGTTGAAGACGCCCGCTTCTCATGCATGTGTGTGCGGGTTCGAAACCTACCAACGGCAAGTACCAATGTTACTTTTTCGGAGTTATATGTACTTTCTAAGACTATCTAGACACCACTGACAATCGGTGAATGACAACATCGGGAGGAAACCTGAACTTATAATTTCAAATTATAAGTTTGTAATTGCCAACCCGCATTGAGCAAGCATGGTGGTTATTGCTCAAACCTTCTCCGTGTGAGAAGAGGCTTTGCTCAGCAGTGAGCAATTTATAGGCTGTTGATGATGATCTAGGTACCATTTTGTTTTATTGTAACGCAAAATGGAATCAGTATTTTATCGAGTACCTACTGAATTCATTGTGTAGGAATGAATTGCATAGAAAAGGTCGACCAAAGGAAAAATGGGTGGATTGTGTGAAGATATGAAGTGATCACTATGGAAGTTATCGAGCGATAAATTGAATGAGAAAGAGAGATTTGAATGAAAAAGGAGGGCCAAAGAAGTGTGTAGAGATTTATTTGGATACGAAAGGTTGGTATGGCATACAAATGAAAGAGGAAGCCATGTTGTGGCGACCACAAATCAGTCATGAAGAAGAAAAACTGCAGAATCACGTACTGCGAGGACTTTAGAAAAGTGCACTATTGAAGTAACCAAAATGGCTTTTCATTGGATTTCAAAGCAAACGTAATTGATTGTCAATCAAACAGCTGACAGATTTTAATGACTAAAACTGTTTGAGCTTATAACGCAGCTATTTTTGGACATTTATGTAGTTATAAACTAGCTATGGAAAAGGAGAAACAAGACCATTTCATCCTAAAAAGTATTTACGTAAATAGTTGGTGAACATTTCAGAGGCTAGTACGAGTTTCATTCACGAGTACGCGTTCGGCGCTCTGATTGGTTGGTTCATTGGCGCCGGCCAATCAGAGTGCCGGACGCGTACTCGTTACGAATACTTTAAACGTAAATGAAACTCGTACTAAGGCCTCTGAAGGTTTAACCGCTTGAATGCCTGTATATGAGACACAATAGAAAATATGTACATTGTGTCTCTCGTGGATCCACGTTTAGACATACGACGGGTTAAGGTCAACGAACTTCTGTCATTTCATCGCGATAGCACACATTTACTAGACATACTATATAGATGCAAATTTTAAAAGCAAACAACATGTGCTAGGCTAATTCACATACAATTTTCACTATAGAAACACGAGGCATGAGTAACATATTATTTCCTGGTTGTCTACTTCTTAAATTACTAGGCCGACAGGTAAGATGAAGTTCTATTTTTTGTCAGAAAATATTACACGGTCTTTCAGCAGGGTTTTTTATGGTAGCTTTCTGCGGTTTCGGAAATACAAGGTGTTGTTTTAAAGTCGCGTCATTTTCTAGGAGGTAACTCGGTTATCGATTCTGAGTCAGAATCAATAAAAAAAATTGTAGGTATATTTTTCATTTTTCTGTAAATCCGTAAGTGTGAACTACACGCCGCCGTCTTGTAACTAGCTTTATAACGCGGCTGTACACACACACAAACTCAAACACGTAATTGATATTATTCCTAATTCCATAAAAATTCAATAAGAAACATTGCTGTCGCTTATTCTGAAATACTGTCAAAAAATGATTTCTCTTACATTGAACCTGTATGACTTCTGTGACATGCTCCCGAGAAATGTCACGGTTTCAAAACTACATCTTGTATAGCTTAGTATAATACCAGTTAACAGACGAAGACTCCAACAACCTAACACACCGTAAACCTGCCACATCTAAAAAAAAGCCGTAATTTATTCTTTACGGATTAAAGCTACTATTACAGACTGAAATCAAATCAGCTAACAATAATGGCCCTAGCGTCGTCTATCCCACTAATCCGATGATGCGAGGCCAATAAATTGGATCAACTCCGCCTACTTTGATGGTCTGTGCTCCTAGTATGACTCACAGTTTTTGTCTAATCTTGTCATCGACTTATTTGATATACGACAAATTAGACACTGACATACAAAACTGGTCTAATTTAGTGAATTCTTTTATAGATTTTTAACCTTATCCCTTAACTATAAAGATGGAAATCTATCAAAGAATTTTGACAATTTATGATATTTTGATGAAATATTTTAATAAGTCAGCCGTCGTATGACTTTTATTTATGGCATAAGCCGGTAAACGAGCAGACGGATCACCTAATGGTAAGCAATCGGCGTCGCCCATGGACACCTGGAACACCAGAGGCGTTACAAGTGCGTTACCGGCCTTTTGGGGATTAGGAGTTTGAGGATCGTTGGGGAGTCAGGAATTGGGGAGATTGGGGAAAAGGAGGGTAATTGGGCCTCCGGTAGGGGAAGGCAGAGGTGCACACAGAAGTAACACCTACTAGGCAGAGGTACACATTATACCACTGTACAATGTAACACCCACTTTTCACTATTTATGTTATGAGTCCCATGTGATAGGAGGGGAGCCTATTGCCATATACCGGGCACATTACCAGACTCCGTGCTACTACTGAGATTTTTTTTAAAAACCCAGTAATACTTTGCCCGACCCGAACCCAAGGAATCGAACCCAAGACCCCTTGCCCGGCAGTCGCACTTGCGACCACTCGGCCAACGAGGCAGTCTTTAGAAAAAATCTAAAAACTTAATACAGTCTAATCTAGACAAATGAATGATTGGTTCTCTCACGGTCTCCTATTACATCTAGCTAACGATACAAAAGACAAAAACTGTCTATTCTATAGACTATTGTATAATTATTACAAAAGCAAAAAATAATGAATTAATTACAATGTAGTGACTGAGATCATCGAGTTTATAATTAAATACCTAATCAATAGTGTCTCGTTTTAAAATGGATAACAATAACTAATTGAAACATCTTGATTAGAACAAATGTTTAGAATAAGGTAATTAATATTATAATTTGATGTAAACTGTAAATAGATACCAATAGTTAGGTAGTTTTCATTAATGACTAACGGAAAAGCGAATAATAAACGAAAAATAAACGTTTCGGGATTTTCATTGATCATTTCTGTTTTTATCGCCATTAGCATTGCCTACTTGAGAAGTTAAGATAATTGCAAAAATATTTGTAATTGTTTCTAGTTCCTGCTTCCTCCGCAAATGTAGGCGGGCTTTACCGCGATCCATTTATCGTGTTAAGGAAACTTTGCATAGGAAAGTCCTATAATTTTACAACATTCGTTTAATCTTAGAAATGTAAATAAGTTCGCACTTTAGGAAACATGCTATCATATACCAGTTAGATTACCTATGGATAGGTTCAGACTGAAATACGGAACCGTTTCAGGTATATTCATCAACCTTTCATAGGTCACAGGGATAACTTACGGTATGCTAAGGTGTAGGTATGTGTAGTACCCACATTTTGACAACATGACATTCTTGTAATGAGCCATGGCCTACGAGACACGCAATGTGAACGTCAGTCAGACTGTCGGCTTCAGCCGCCGCCGGCCGCCGCACCGGCCAGACCGGGGTGGGGCGCCCCGGCACGCATGCGCGCTTACACCGATCAAAAATCCATTCCACCCATTCATTCCTCTTACGATTAGGTAACACGCTTCGCTTTGCCCTCCACTACCCACATGCTACCCTGGTCACATGCCTCTCAATTCCCCAGGCAATTGCAAATTCAACATTCTTATTCACAAAAAGATGTAAGAAAGTCCACACCGCGTGTTACTAAATACACATCTATCAATCACCAGTCTGTAGCACGACGCAAGGACACAACCGAAGTTAATTTAGAGTCGAACCGTAGCGGCCGCCGGCGAGTAAACATTGCTATGCAGATCTTACGTAAGCTAACAGCTGTAAGTATCGATCTACTCACCATATCATTGTTCTCCACCAGCCAGTTCACCGAACATATTTGGTACACGAAATACGCCCGCACGAGTTCGCTCGTCTTCTTACTTTTGAACGCATCTTTGGGGCTGTTGAAGTTAAGGTCGAGGTCGTCCCGCGACGGAGGCGAGGAGGACAGCACACGTACATTCCGGGGCGCGTTCACCGCAAGCCGTCTGAGCAGAGCCATGTTCCGAACTCTGCGAAATACAACACGTACACAACACGCGCCCGTCGTCCGCGACTGACAACTGACACTGACGTCCGCTCAATACCGAGTCTCTGCGCGCGCACTCGATCCAATTTTAAATCCGCCGGAGCGTCGCGGAGGTGTGTCTTGGACGAGAGCCGCGATTGGACGACAGGGCTGGCCAGCACGCGAACCTGCCGTGACGCGACATTATAAACAGCATTGTGCGGTAACCTCAAACACCGTACCTCAAGGGCAAAGCAGAGCAACAAACAGCTAGCTATGTGCAGTCTCACTCACTTCCCCTAACGATGTTTGCAAAATATACAATTCAGTACAATATCTTTGATTGAAATGTTCTGAATATTCGTGAAAAACCTGAAGTAAACCCGACCCCATGAAAATGTGGGGATTATATAACCAGCCGGGGCGAGGAAGGTTATGTAAAACGCTATTCAGAGTTCAAGAACCCGGGGCGACCTGTCGGCGGGCGCACAACATTCGTACTTGAGTTATTACTCATGCCTTTTATAACAAGCCAAGTGCGCACCAACCGACGGCTGGTACTGGTTTGTAGTCAGTGTGCAGTCGACAGCTCTTAGCGAATTACTTACTACTTGTTAACTTGTTAACTTTAGTGATAAAGTTTAACAAAGCAGTAAACTTCATTCATACTTTGGATGCGGTTTATACAAAAATGTTATGTATGAATATATTTGGAATCTTTTCAATACAAACAGCTATTAATATTTTTTGCAACGGTAACGGTATAAAAGAGTGCAATACACACATGTTTGACGCATAATAATTGGCATTTGGACTAACCACACATTGTCCTCAAATACTTGCCTTTAAGTTTGGAAGTAGTTACCGCCAATTAAGGGTGTAATGTGTATTATAGACATATTTACCCGAAACCTTCCTCGGTACTATTTCGGAGTATTTATTTCCAGCAATCATTCAGTTTTTCTCCCAGTAACCACCTTAAGCTCTGTAAAACACAGACAGCAAAAATTATAACGAAAAAAGGTTCAAGTACAATAAAAACTGTTTACTGAGAAGATAATTTTCAAGCAAGAACACAAGTTGGGAAGGTCATCAAAGTGTCTAGCGATTAGCTGTTCGACAAATTCAATCATCCAAAAAAGTAAAAAGATACTTACTTTGTAAAGGTACGCGTAATGGCGTTGTAGTCGTTTTAAGTCTCATAAAAAAGTTCTCAAAAAGTATAGGGTATTTTCCAATTAGTCAAATTCAATAACTATTGCGACTTATCAAAATGAGACTTAAATTCCTAAAAGTATCCTTATTATTTTAATATTTCATACATACATACATCACCACATGCCTGTCTACCATAGGGGTAGGCAAAGACTATGGAATGCCAATTGCTACGATTCTTACACATCTCTTCACCAACAGTCTTTCATGTATACTCGTCGGTTAAGGGTACTTTTAATTTGGCCCTTCTGTAATATATCGCCAATATGGTCGATAATAAATTTAACTTAGGTAATTTGTATTTGAAAGCTTAAAATTATTATGTACTTTTTTACCGAGGGAAATATTGCAATTCATCATCAATAAATACATACTCACCCATATTTCTCCATTTTCCTTAATTTCTATGAATCGTCAGGAAAAACATTTCAAACACTGGCTTGGTATGTACTAGTATCTTATGTATCATTAGGTACTAGTACTAAGCCAGTACCTAAATATGATTCTTTACCATTTCTGTGGTTAGAAGAGCGACTGATTTCATAAATAGCCTTAAAGCCAATTAATCTGAAGGTTTAAAGACGCCTGAACCATGAAGTCCCAAGAGTTTACCAAAAGGTTTTCACCACAGACATATTAAAAGTATATCTATGGTTTTCACTCTATTTTATTTTAACTGAAAACTTAGCTTTACGTATTTAGGTACATACGTTACTGTACCTGTACCTAAGTAAAGCTAAGTAAAAGTTAATTGCCAATAGCTGTACCTATTGGTAATAAAAAGTAACACCATTATTTCTGACTAGCATTATCCAACGGCTTCACCCGCTTTTTTTTTTTTTTTTTTTTTTTTGTATATGAATTGATTTTTTTTTTTTTTTTTGATGGGGCGACGTTTGACCACTATCTCACCTGTTGGTAAGCGATGATGCGGTCTACGTTGGAGCACGTCGTCCCATAAGCAACCTATTCACTCGGGCCTTGAAGACTCCCAGGTTATACCCTTCAGGAAATACAGACTCTGGCAAAGAATTCCACTCTTTAGCAGTACGCACAAGGAAGCTTGAAGCAAAGCGCTTCGTGCGTGTGGGCGGAACATCTACCATGAATCGGTGACGCTTCGCGGATTGTCTTGTGGTACGATGATGGAAAGGACTAGGGGGAATCAAGTTGTGCAATTCCCCCGCACACTCCCCGAAATGTATCCGGTAGAAAACCGAAAGGCTTGCAACCTTACGCCTGTGTTCGAGGCTTTGAAGCCGAGCCTTCACAAGCGCATCATCGTCGATGAGCCTCCTGGCACGCCTCTCAATGTGCTCTAACGCGTCCAGCTGATATTTAGCCGAGCCGTCCCAAAGATGAGAGCAGTACTCCATACAGGACCGAACCTGTGCTTGGTACAGGCTCAGCAATTGTTTCGGCGTGAAGTACCGTCTCACCCTCCAAAGGACACCCAACTTCCTACCAGCCAGTTGCGCTTTTGACTCTATATAGGAGCCAAAGTTGAGCGTGGGCGTCAGAGTTACACCAAGAAGCTCAAGACGATCGGTTATCGGTACGGATACATTCCGGAAAGTAGGAGTCAGCGGAAATTGACTCCGTTTGGCGGAGAATAGACACGCCTGGGTCTTGCTAGCATTGAACCTAACCAAGTTGGCGTCACCCCAGTCGGACACCGCCTTCAAGGTCGAGTTCAAACGTTCGACCATGGATTCTCTTAAAGACTGGATCTGTGTTCCGCTAGTCCGCGCACCGGACACATACCTTTCAACAACTGTGCTGTCATCTGCATACCCAAAGATACCGGGCTTAAGCAGGTCGTTTATGTGCAGCAAAAAGAGCGTCGCTGAAAGTACTGACCCCTGAGGGACGCCGGCATTAATACCGAATTGGTCAGACGAGCAGCCATCGATGACTACTCGTATTGACCGATCCCTCAGAAAGTCTGCTATCCATCTGCACAGACCAGTAGGAAGTCCATATGCAGGAAGCTTGCCGATTAGACTGTCGTGCCATACCCTGTCAAAGGCCTTCGAAATATCGAGGGAGACTGCTAGTGCCTCTCCGTGCCCCTCTATGGCCTCGCTCCATATGTGAGTGGCATACGCAAGAAGGTCCCCAGTCGATCGGTTACGTCGAAACCCGTATTGCCGATCGCTGAGGAGATCGTTACCTTCAAGGTATGCCAGGAGTCTATTGTTAAGAACACGTTCCATGCTCTTGCAGAGTATGGACGTGACCGAAATAGGGCGGTAATTGTTAGGGTCGGCACGACTACCTTTTTTAGGCACAGGCTGTACGTTGGCCAGCTTCCAAGCAACCGGTACTAGACCCGTCTCCAAGGAAAGGCGAAACAGACGTGTCAAGATTGGAGACAACTCAGGCGCACAGGTTTTTAAAACCAGGGCTGGGATTCCGTCGGGACCACTGGCCTTGTTCACGTCCAGATCGCGTAGCGTCCTATATACCTCCCTCTGTCGAATGCGAATTTGCGACATATTCGTCTTGCATACGCTATTAACAGAAGGAGGCAAGGCGCCACCAGTGTCAAGACGCGAAGACTCCGCAAATAGAGAAGCAAATAGATTTGCTTTCTCTACCGCAGTGTGAGCCAGCGTCCCGTCAGACCTCAGGAGCGGAGGAAGTGAGGAGCGACAGAAGTTCGATTCAACCGCCTTGGCCAGGGACCAAAAAGCTTTACTTCCCGCTGGGTAGGAAGCTAGTTTGTTCCCTATACGGCCAATGTGGTTAAATCGAGCCATCCGTAATGCCTTTTTGCATGACTTGGCAGCCCGATTAAAGGCTCTCTTCTTTTGATGAATGTCATCAGCCCTACGGCGCCTGGCATCCGCCCATGCCAAGTATGCCGCCTGCTTTTGCGCTTCGGCACGTCCGCAGTCGGCATCGAACCAAGGACGGGTCCCACCAGAGGATGCCACGTCCGAGAATGGAATGTAGTATTCCATGCCCTGGCGCAGCACCCCCGTTACGGCTTCCGCACAAGCTGACGGGTCATCAGAAGAGAAGCAGACAGGCCGCCAAGGATAGGAAGCGAAAAAAGATCGCATCCCATCCCAGTCCGCTGACTTGTATCGCCACATCCGCCGAGGTCCTCTGGGACTCGGATCTGGTGGGGAGTGTGTCGATACAGATTTCACCAGACAGTGGTCAGAGCTACCTAGAGGTGATGAGACTGTCACCGAGTAGCGGTCTGGATCAGTTGTCAGCAGAAGGTCTAAGCAATTGGCAGTGTGCGTATCGACATCGGGCACCCTTGTGGCTTCCTGGACCAGCTGGGTCAGGCCAAGCGAAAGCGCAAGCTTACGCATTTCCCTTCCAGCATGGTCGGTGCACTGGTATGGGAATAACCACTCCTGATGATGAGCGTTAAAGTCCCCCAGTAACACCAACTGGGCCGAAGGGTACGCCTGACGAGCCGCATCCGCCGCTTCGCCGAGGTATTGCGCTAATCTGGTCGCCTCCAAATCTCCGCTGTGCGACCGATAGACACAGGCATAAAGAATTTTCTCCATGCCTATGTCCACCAGTATCCAGAGAGCAGAAAAGCTTGGGTCTTCAAGGTTTCGGAGACGCCGGTAACAGATGCCGTCTCGGACGTATACGCATACACCTGCATGCGGAACAAAATTGTGCTCCAGGGAAAAACCAGGGTAGTTCAGGTAGGATACGTCCGACGGGCACCTGATCTGGGTCTCCGAGAGAAACAAGAGTGTAGGGTTCTCGGTCTCGAGGTGGTGATGGACCGCATTGACATTAGAGTGCAAACCTCGAATATTTGAGAGGTGCACTATGAAGGAGAGGGAGTGCAGCCGCTGTTGAACCCTTTTCTTATTTC